TATGACTGATTATATGTATTATATAAATTAGTTTGGTGAAGCCAACAGTTTGAAGGCAGAACTAGGAGAATTTGCTGTCTGTCTAGAGCAACCATAAACTAAATGTGTAGGCCAAACATCTAAACTAAAGCAAGTCAAAACAACATCCTACCCAAGAAATACAGCAGCTGTCAATATGCTTTTTTCATAGCAGCATTTCCACATGAAATAGTAGGGTAAACACAGGTCAAACAGAGTCAAGGTGCTGGCATAGTTGCACAGAAGACATTTTGACTTATCAAAGCCTTAAACACACATACGACTTAATAACAACAAGCTCAGTTCTATTAAATATCCCAGTAACAGATCCAGGGAACCAGCATGCACAATTGCTGGACCTTGTGTGGAATGCAGCAATAGTCAATACACCTGTGAGTGTTCTGCTATGATATGTCAACAAATCCATTGTGCATGTTGGTTCACTGGAAAGGCTCTGCTACACTTAATGGAACAGAGCCTTAATTAGTATCATTGGTAACACCTGTGTTTACCATATAATATGTCAAAATGGCTGCTGTGAAAGAGGTCTATAATTCCCTAACAAGTGTAATGGCACAGTTAAGGCGATGGTTGGTTAAAACATGTCAACTTCAGGCTCTGACCTATACTTACTGGTTTCACAAAGCACGGAAATAAACTAGATCACCACAGGTCATCAAAAAGCTGGTCATTAGTTGTGTTTATGAGCTCGTTCACATGAAAGAATCAGGTTTTTAATTAGCCAAACATTAATCACAGGAAATGGTAAAGTCAAAGTGAGGCGCCAGAAAAGTGAAGTTGGCTAAATCAAGACTCATTCAGATGCACTGAGGCAATACAACTCATGTTAACTCAAAAATGCTACAGCTCTTATCGGAACAGTTGTAATGCGGCTTCCAGCCAGCAGCAGCAGCAGTGAGCCACTGTCGTTGGCCGGGGACAGGTGAGCGAAGAAGATGCGCCATCCTGGATTTTGAAATTTGTTTGTTGACATTGTGGAATATCTTTTGGATTTACTGAGACCGAGTTGTGGTTTTGTTACATTAACAACCTCATGGCAGTGACCTCCGCCCGAGAGGTTGCCAGGACATTCAATTCATCTCCAGTGAGTTTGGGTTTTCAACATACAACCGTTAACGAACCTTATTGGGGCATAAATATCATGAGCACTTCACTGCTCCAAACAAAACCAACACGCAACAAAAACCGTGTTTCTACCTTTGAATAAACGTTGAGTTTGTGCCGAACAACCTTTACTTTGTTAGTCGATAGCTAGTTTAATTAACGTCACTTGGTTTAGTACTGACTAACGTTATATGGAGGATGTATCGCAACGCGGAAGTAGTGTCCCTACCTGTGTTGTGGAGAAGCTGTGAGTGAGTAAACACTGGGGAAGGTGGATATGATTCATGAATGGTTGCTGTTCGTTGTTTAACACATTGGGATCTGTTCGGATCTGTTTTGTTTCTTTTGCAGTGACTGAGTCTCCATTTCAATCCATTTGACCACTGCTGTCCTCCGAGAAGGACAAACAAACGTTTTAAAAGTCTCCTATCAAGCCTACAGATTGTGAGTAGTGATATAGTTACTCCAAAAAAGATAGACTTTTAAATGTGAATTCCTCTGAGCCAACATTAGTTAACCGACATTTTGTGATTCAGACGCCATGTAGCCTCTCTCTCTTTCTCTCTCTCTCTATCTATCACACACACACACACTTGTAGCCAGACAAAATGCCTAAGTCTCTATTTAATTCCTTGCATTCCCACTGATTTAATTTGTTTCCTCCTTTCTTCCGCCGCTCGCCTCCGGACAACTCCTCCGAAATTCAAGTCCTGGCGCAGAATATTTGCGCATTTATATTTCTTTTTATCCGTGCGTGTTTCGCCGTTTGAATGTAATTTAAATAATAAAAACAGCAGTCCTTCGCAGCTCGGTGACGGACGCTGAAAACTCTACTTTGCCTTGCTAATCAGTGCGGCCGCTGTGGGACGCGCATCGGGGCGCGTTCACGCTGCTCATGGGCGGGGACAAGACACAGAGAAGGGGGAGGACTCTGGGGGGGGGAGTTTTTTTTTTTGCTATATTTTTATTTTTATTTTTATTTTATTTTTATAATTTTAGAAAAGGAGCGGTTGTAGAGTGTTAAATAAATTTTTTTTATCTGCTGCTTAAGCGGGTTGGAGAAGAACTCTAGTGCGCATGCTCCGTGGGGTCCCAAAACGCGGGTAGCAACACGGTAGCGATGGAAACTGTCACACCACCAGTTTTTTTAGACCATAGTTACGCCAAATTTGAGCGTCTTTTTTGAGTTTATATAAGATTGTCGCGGCGGGAGTCGTGTTGAGCTTTACATACATTGTTGTGTCTCCTCTCATATAAGTGTAAAATGTAAAATACGGATTACTTTTCTCCTTATAACGTAGTGAAACACACCGGCAGCCTCTCGGTAAACGTACTGCGCATGTGCAGTGTCGCAAACCGCTGAAGGTCTTCCGTTAGCCGTTTGCAATGAGGGACAAGACCGCAGTTTTCGTGGTTCTTTCCATCTGAATGTGTCTTTTACAGGTACTGTACGGCATCGACCTTGTGTATTTCCTCACTCGACGGCACACGGTTTGTGTTGTACGACCACTGTGTCTCTTCGTGTGAGCCGCGGTTAGGTTTTAGCTCACGTTAAAAAGCTACAGACAGCCTCGGCGGTGAGCTGCCTGCTGGCAAAAGCGATGAACTTTAAACGCATTGCAGTGGTTAAATGTGACACTCCTGCAGTGTGCAAAGTTGTGGCCGGTCAACAGCAACTCTGTGTGTGTGTGTGTGTTTAAATGTTAAATACCTGTTAATAAGTAATAAATAGTTTATTAGTAAAGTTAATAATGATTTTGCTTTCACAGTGTCTCCTCCTGTGTGAGCTGGTTGAGAGGAGACATCAGTGAGGATCAATAACTGGATTTATACAGTTAAACTGCAGTTAAAATGCACAGATATTTAAAAACAAACATAGAAACAGTGTTAAATATTCCACTGCTGCAAAGACAATTAGTTTAATGAGTGATTAATCAGTGGATGCTTTTTTTCTTCTTTTTCTTAACTAATCATTTAGTGTGTAAACTGACAGAATAGTGAAAGATGCCGATTACTTTCCTAATTAATGGATTAACTGGTCGGTCTGTGTCATTTCAGGAAATAGTGAAACATTTAAATAACAATCACAATCTCCTTAAACCCAAACTGACTCCAAAAATTGCCTGTTCGGTTTGAGCAACAGTCCGAAATCCGAATAAATGCACTTTTTAATCACGTAAAACAAAGAATTAAGAAGATGGAACAAAGACATTCGTTGGTATTTGTGCCCGAGGAGAGTAAAAAGATAAACCGACCACGTCAAAGTAGTTGCTGATTCAGTTTCCGACGGTGAACTTAATTAACCGGCTGAACTCTTCCTCTGTGTTTTCCAGACTGTCTGACGGTGTTGGAGGATGGACCCTGTGGTGCTGAGCTACCGGGACAGCCTGCTGCGGCGGTCTGACGTGTCCTTACTGGAAGGACCTTACTGGCTCAACGACCAAGTCATTGGTTTTGCCTTCGAGTACTTTGCTGCTGAGCGCTTCCGAGTCCTGGGGGAGACCATCGTCTTCATCAGCCCGGAGGTCACCCAGTTCATCAAGTGCGCTTCCTGCCCCGATGAGTTGGCCCTGTTCCTGGAGCCGCTGGGTCTTGCGTCTCGTCGCTGGGTCTTCCTCGCCGTTAACGACAACTCCAACCAGACGGCCGGGGGATCCCACTGGAGCCTCTTGGTCTACCATCACAGCTCCAACCACTTCGCCCACTATGACTCTCAGAACGGCTCCAACTCGCTGCACGCGCGGCGCATCGCCAGCAAGCTGGAGCCGTTCCTGGGCGCGGGGAGGAAAGCGCTGTTCGCGGAGGAGCCCTGCCCGTCGCAGAAGAACAGCTACGACTGCGGCATGTACGTCATCTGCATCGCCGAGGCCTTGTGCGAGAAGGCCAGAGTGGAGGGCTCGCCACGCCTTCCCGTGCAAATCATCACGCCGGCCTACATCACCCAGAAGAGGGCCGAATGGTGCAGACTGATCCAGAGTCTCGCTCAGAGCGACCTCTGCTGCTCTCTGTCTTTTCCTTAGCACGTCGGTCGGCCCTCGCTATATGCAGAACAGCGGTCGGCCTCATATCTACCGCTGGAGCATCTGAATGCACTCCTTGAATACAGTATACACCTAATATATATATGAAGTATATTTCTATTTCCGTCTCTCCACAGTAGAAACAAGTGTAAAAAGATAAAGCAGTGCTACGAGTCTTTTAATGACTCGTGTAACACTTGGTGTCGTGTTGATCCTTTGTATATATGCACCGCAAGATACAACATGTAAACGAGAACACCAGCATGCCTATAAAAGGAATTTACTCCCATGTACATATTTAGTAAGGATGGAGAATGTGTCACGAGGAAGAGGAGGCGCAGACTTTTTATTTCTTTTCTCCACTGTTTAAGTTTGGAGCGAATGTAGAAATGTTTACACGGATTATTGCTCAGGGTCATTTTAAATTGACTAGAATTGACAATAAGAATGTGCATCTTAATTCCGGCTCCCACTTCGTGTCACGTCTGTTCTGGTCACGTTCTCGGTGTCTCAGTTTTAACAACAAAAAAAGGTTTTGAATCGTTTTAATGCACTGTGTGTTTATGGGACAGTGTCGAGTGGAGGAATGTATGTCCTATATCAAACTCATTCTCTGTTGATCTAATAAATTTAACTGTTGTCACATTTTTTGTTGACAAAATGGTAAATTTTCTTTGTGGTTTTTCATTTGAGGTCCCAGCTGTCTTCTTTTCATCAAGTTCACATCTTGTTTGTGTTGATATGTTTAACGTTTTCCACCAGAAAAGTTCATTTTAATTCTAATGTTATTCTGAATACACAATTTACCTCAATGCATTTACAGCAGCATAAATGTTGGATAACTGATTCTTCTTAAACCTTTTGTGTTG